TAATGTTACTCGCATATTTTCGAGCCTGTATGTAAATTTTCGGGAAAAAGGTTAAAAAGTATATTCATCTGCTGAAAAGATATTTTCGCAGATTCACAATTTATTTAAAATAAATCTATCAGCCCTATCTCCAATTCCATGTGAATAAATCTCTCCAGTGCTTAAATAATTTTCACCACATTAAATAGCTGCACAACACCCTAATTGCCGAAAAAGCGTTGCTTGCAACACTAGTCCTTTATGGGGACCAAACTTGGTAAAAAAAAATAGCTAAGTTTGTTTACTGGATATACTGAGCTTTACAGTTTAGTGCGATCAATTATTATGAGATAATAAGGATAACCTTTTCTTGATAACATATAACCACGGCAGAGGTATAAAGGACTATGATTTGAAGGTATGCACCTGGAATATCCGGACCCTTAATGGGGAAGGTGCCTCTGCCCGGCTGGTTGATGTCCTCGGGAAGACAAAGGCTGACATCACCGCCATCCAAGAAATGCGATGGACGGGGCAAGGTAAAGTAAGCGTGAAGCCTTGCGCCGTCTACTACAGTTGCCATGTAAAGGAGCGCAACTTCGGTGTTGGATTGACGGTAGGAGAGAGACTCCGTCGCCGAATACTGGCGTTCACCCCAGTGGACGAACGTCTACCCACAATCCGCATCAAAGCGAGATTTTTTAACATCTCGCTCATCTGCGCCCATGCCCCGACGGGAGAGAAGAACGAGGCGTACAAGGATCTCTTCTATGAGCGCTTGGAGCGTACATATGAGCGCTGCTCCCGACACGATATCAAAATCGTGCTCGGCCATTTTAATGCCAAGGTGGGCAAGGAAGGGATCTTTGCCGCCACGGTTGGAATATTCAGTCTCCACGACGAAACGTCCGGACTGAGGCTGATCGACTTCGCCGGGGCCCGAAACATGGTAATATGTAGTATTAGGTTCCAGCACAAAAATATCCATCAAGCTACATGGCTGTCTCCAGATCGAAAAACGAGAAACCAAACCGATCATGTTGTGATAAACGGAAGACACGCTTCCAGTGTTTTAGATGTACGTACACTCCCGAGGGCCAAACATCGACTCGGACCACTATCTTGTTGTAGCCAAGATACGCACCCGCCTATGTGCAGCAAAGAATGTGCGCCCAACAATGCAAGCAAAGCTTAACGTCGAAAAGTTGCAAATAGACGGCCATGATTCAACAACTACAGGTTGTAGCAATCGTACAAAAACAACATTTACCGTTGGTATGAACTCCTTGTGTCATCAACATCTTCTTTATCTATTCATATTCGTACGTATATGTATACCCTGCACACCAGGATTTCATAGAATTCTGAAAGGTTTCACAATTTTTTTAAGAATTTTCTTTAAGAAATCGTACAGAAAT